TTGCCCAGTATTTGTTTTCAGTTGCAGCAAAATACTATTATTAATATTTTACTCTGATAAAAATACACTTGGTATACATACTGTTTTTTTCTGTTGTATATTTTCTTTAACAGAAGAGTTGGCTTTTTTGCTGCTGAGACATCCATCCCAAGAATATTCTCTCTGTTCGTCTTCATATAATCATCTCAGTCATTTCTCTACTCTCTGTTCACAACAGGTGAACTGTTTGGAGCCGCATCCCCATCTGCCAGGTATGGCCACCAGTGGGCTGGACCACGACATCAAACTGTGGGCCCCCACAGCTGAAAGCCCCACAGGACTCAAGGGTCTCAAAGAGGTATTCTATTCTGCTCTATTTTATTCCGTTCTGCTTTTTATAGGGGTGATAATAAAAACTAGTAACTAAAATAATAAACTTTTTTTTATGTAATAACTGGCTATGCTTGATATATTATGGTCATTATAGTGAGACATTAGGCCTCTATTTAAGCTGCAAAAACGTTGCTATGAGAAGTCCTGGAAAAGAAATGGAATTTATATCAGGGACATCAGGGGGTATGTTTGAGGTGCGTGCATGCTCACACCTGTAATAAACGATTTGTCGTGCTTGTCAAGGTGATGAAGAAGAACAAGCGGGAGCGCGATGAGGACAGTGTGCGCCACGGTGACCAGTATGACACCCAGCTGCTGTGGTTCCTGATGAGACACATGAGGAACAGAAGGCCTGCGAGGGTGAGTTCCCCTAACACTGCAATAAACTTAGGACCCATTAATCATGTTTTGGGTTGTGGAGTTCAAAAGATGTGGGCATTGAACAGGCAGGCAGGGCCTCACCAAAATATCCTGTTGGTTGCATTATGGGAAATGTAGGCTACAGCGTTTTTTGAGCTTGACCTATACTAGGATCTGTTACTGTGATTTTGACCATTGTTTTTTTTTTTTTTTATTATCTGTTTCTTGTGAGTACCTCACTTTTATAATGCAGTGCTAAATTTCTGGAGTGCCCCTTAAGTAAATAGTATGTAGGATGCAGTCTATTGGGTCCCTGTCCATTGAAAATTGGAGGAGGCAAGTTAGCTGTTATGGGTAACCACTAGTACTGTTCCGTTTGACAGTTTAATGCTATAATGTGCAAAGTGTAACAATATACCTGCAAAGGAAGGAAAGAAGACTGCAAGCTAGTAAACAGTGGTGCTTTGCAAATTTTTTATTAGGAAGAAAATGCATTAAACATTTTAGGCCTTAACACACTGCAGGGGATAGTTTTTGTACTTGTTGTGCGTGTATTTACTAAAATACAGTTGGAATTTGTGGGAATGTACTGGCAATTCTGCACTGAAAATATACAGTGCACTTTCTAACTTTAAGGACCAGGTTTCCCCCGAATAGGCTCATTGTCACTTTTCTCTGCTCTCCTCTTATTTATGTTTGTGCAGGCCCGCCGTGAAGGTGCAGACGCAGACACAGACGAGTCCTGGAGCTCTCCAGATTCCTCTGATGAAGAGGAAGGAGGTCCAGACCATGTCCAGTGCATGTCCTCCTGAGCCACACACATACACACATACACACATACATACATACATACATACTTTATTGCCCTTGAATTGATGCACATAGGCAAGCACTATTGACACACTGGCACACTCAAACACTGACGAGCCACAGATTAGAGGTTTTGTTTAATTTTTTTTTTTTTTTACACACATACAAACTCAGACAGATAAACACACACATTTACTTAAACATAGTGTTGAAGCAGAGTGACAGAGATGCTTAATGCCTGGTTTCCCAGCAGTTGTGAGTGTGCAAATGGCAACTGCAGACAGTATAATTCTTCCAGAATCCCGATTATTATTTTTATTTTTTTTGAAAAAGAGATTGAGTGAGTGCTTACATCCCTATAAACCACTCGGAGGATCCTGCTTATCCATACGTTATCTATACGCTATGTGTAGCCCAAGAACAATGTACTGTATGACAACAAGCCCCTCCTCTTTAGGCACCATGTAGGAAGCTACACATCACCAGCACACAACTCCGACCTGTCTTAGTAACACACCTCTTGCTGTCAACCTTTCTGTGCTGATGACAAGGGGGTCAGCACGGAGGAAGGGCGCAGAATCCGTTCCCTCAAACTATCCCCTATATGTGACTTCCTATTTAAGATTTGAACTTGTAGAGGGAAACCCCGGCGCCCCTCACTGCATTGCCTAAGTCTTGTACTGATTTCTGGCCCTGAGCTTGTGCAGATAGTTATATTTATCACAGGTTTTCTCTCTGAGGACTACTAAATCTTTACGTGCTGCCCTCAACTACTCCCTCCCCTCCCCCTTCCATCACCCTCCCCTACACTACCGCGTGCACTTTGAATCAGGGATGCTTTAGTTTGAGACAGACAGAACATGCACTGAATGTGTGATTTTTGGGGGAAGAGCTGTTGTCTTGTATCGCTCATTGGAAATCCCACAGTGCATTTTAGTGTATTTCTTTAAGTTTTTTGATTGGGGAGATATTTTGCACTTGGAAGAGGTTTCTTTTGGTTCCACCAGCCCTTCCTCCTCTATTTCTTCCTCCCTCGCTCTCCATCCTGACACCTGTTTTTGACAGGATGTCTTCAGTTCACCTGTCCTAGTGAACGTGAAAGTATAGAGGTAGATGGTGTTCAACTTGTGCATAGGATGTAATGACTGATGTTAGGCTCTGTGTAATTTTGAATAGCCAGAACCGACCTGGATCAAAACCCTAGTGAAAGACTGCCTATGTGCCAATTGAAATTGGATTAACAAAGGACTCCACTTGTCCATGTGGTTCCTTTTTAAAATTCTTGTGCGATGCGAACAGTCTCAAATCAATTGCTGAGTAACATTTTTCAGACAAACATTTGAACCAGGTCGTGTGTTGTGTGTTTGCAGCCAGCACACCACTTGTGAAGAAACGTCTGTCTGTGCTGTATTGACATTGGCTCAAAGAGTAGGATGGGGGGGGGGTCAATATGCTTGCCAGTCATTTGTTGTGTGAGAGCGATAAAGTCCAGCTTTTCTCATTTTCTATGAGAACTCTAGTTAGTTGAATTTATATGTACATATATAAATATATATTAAAACTGTAAAAAAAAAATCAACTTCAGCAAATGCTGTTTGACTTAAAAAAAAAAAAGATGTCAAAATATTTGATTGGTATTGATGCAGAGGTTTATATTCTATATGAGGACAAAGTACTTTTAAAATCCAGAGAAAAAAAAAGTTGACATGAGGCACCATTTTTTGTTGAGTTTTTCCTTTTATGAATGACATCCCTCTGTTATGAACTGTCATTTCAGGTATACTAGTTTTGATTCTCTTTCTTGTTCAAGGAAAAAAAAACAGTGTTTCCTTTCTAGATCTTAATCCATCATTTGAGACAGTTATATCCAGATTTTCCCACTGGCTATTTTGGCATCTTGTATAAATAAGGCTTTTGATGAACAACTTTTTTCCCCCCACCACTGCCTAATATTGTGTTCTACAGTTCAGTTGGAAATATGTACGATTCGTGCAATAAACAAAAAGACAGTGCTCTTGATGTCGTCATGTTATGGTCTCATTCTGTGTTGTATTGTTGTGACATACTGATATGTATTAATGCATTTATTGGCCGACATAAGAGGTCCTATGTGGAGACTTGCTTTTGTCACCAGTTTTGCTGGCTGCTGTCTTTAGACTAATGCAAGAGATCGATGTTCTGTGAGGCTATTTCTTATCGCACTTCTGTTAAGTTGGGGACTTGCAAGAGAAGATTTAAAAACAAAAAACAGAATCGTCAGTCATTTTATGTTTAGGAAAAACATAAAATAAAAAGACTCCAAGCCCAAACAGAAACAACGGATGAGATCAGAGTTAGTTAGTCACTACTTTGTAACACCTTGCCAGAGCCACAGAAAACTTTATACACCTGTTGAATGATGCAACTTTATCCAGTTGAATAGTACTCTATGGACTAGTGTGCCCATTTAAATGTCCCATTTCTATGTCAAAATATGGAGTGACCAAGTGCTCTAAATGTTACTATTAACAAGAAGAAACATTTGGAGAACATCTTACTGAAGTCCAAGGTGGCAGTAAAAACTCCTTTTACCACCGGTGAATATTAAATTGTCCTGCCATTGTCATTTTCTATATAAAAAGTAGATACTAATTATGATCCAGAATTTAAGGTGCCAGCATAGTCCTAATTTAGTTTAGTTTTACTCTAATCCCACAGCCTTTTCAGCTACAGTGTATCCCCAATTTTAACATCTCAGGATTACTATTGCAACATTTTTTTTGTAAGATTTTACTAAAGGACAATGATCTCCTGAATAACTTATTAAAATTGAATATTTGCCTATAGGATGGTAGGTCTTTTTTTTAAGCATATAAAACTAAATGTCTTTTGTATGGCAAGCCTATTAAGACATTTTGACATGGCCCATTAGGAAAAGCACAGATGTAATTAACTTGTTTAGGTGCTCCAGTTTCAGAGTCCTGGTACTGTGCAAGTTGGCTAACTGTCACAATGTCATGACTTACTGATCACTTTAACAATGACTATTTTATTCAGAAACACCTGAATAAAATTGAGTCATTGTTAAAGTTATAGTCACAACGTCTGTTGTGGAAAAGGTCTATTGTCTTAACGGATGTTTCAAGCAGACACCCTTCCTTCTTCCTCCTGGTTGTTTTCATTATGCAAACTCACGATGGGCATATGTATGAAATGTCTTTAGTCCAATTAATGCTTTGGGGTTTTTAGGTTTGCCAGTTTGAGGATTCAGTACCTAAGGATCCAAATCAGTTTCCATTATTCCTCTACTGCATCTTGCACATCAAGGCTCTTAAATAATTCTGTTGTATACGATCTGCCTTCTTCTTAATCAATGCTCTTCTTTGTTACACTTTCTCTTTGAAGAGAGTACTGCTCCACATTCATGATGCACATTTATGGAGTCACTGTTTGTTTCAGCTGAGAAATGAGACATGATCTTTACATGATGTTTTTATTCAACAGGTCTTAGAATGGGAATATAAACTCAATCCATGTTGGCAGTGACAAACATTTTCTCACGCTTGTTACCACTCACACCATATACCCATCCTTAATTTGACATAAATGACAGCCTTATTTCACATGAACAAATGACAAAAACAAATAGTTAACATGTACAAACAGGTGTCAGTCTGATCTGTAAATCTGATGGTGGTGTATTTTCTAGTTGGAGAACCTGAACTTCTGTGCACAGCTGTAAACTCGTTCTCCAGGCTGGTGTCTAGAACAAAACCAGATCTACGAAAATACATATCTGAACATATTCTTGACACCTGTGAAACTGCAGAGATCTCATTTAAAAAAAAATATATATATAAACACAAAATACAGCTTCTTGCTTACTAAATGCAGCCATCACTCTCACTCATCACACTTGATGCTTAATGTTTTGAATCGCAAGGATACAATAGAAACAAGAATTTAGTACAAATGCAGCTCCAATAGCCCTTTACAACTCATCCCAATTAACACAAGTCAAATATGATTACTTTGTTTCATTTGTATGATGAGAAAATCATACAAACCTTTTTTTTGGAATGAGCCGTTTATCTATACAGTGAGCTAGTTTAAATCTCCACACTCCAAACACAGGAGGGTAAAAGTCTTCCAACTCGTTCCACTTTAACGGTTGGGCTTCCGTCGCCTCATACATGGAGATGTGATCTAGCCTATCAAATACAATCCGACATGACATAGTGCAGACATAAATATTAAAAGAGGCACCATCATGAGCTTTCACTTGTTGCCTCACTTATGCTAATGTGCACACAAAGGAATCACGCTGATAAGAATCTGAGTGTCAGGTGTGCTATTCCTTGTACTCCAGAAACTGCTGTAATCTTTTCCGATGCTCTGCAGACATCTTAACATCACTGAGGATTAAAAATAAACAAAACATATATATAAAAAAAAAGTGTATACTCAGTATTTTTTAATCATCTGAAAAAAAAGAATTTTAATGACAGGCCTTACTTCAAGTGATCTCCAAAAGTAGTTGTTATCCTGTAGATGGCAGTCTTGAGAGTGGCCCTGAGAGCAAAGCGCAGTGTTTTGTGAGTGGAGTCTCCCATGCTGCTGGTCGACCTCACAGGCTTACTGGAAGCATGAGGCAGCTTGAAGTGTCGATCTACTGCCTGAAGACAAAGAGGACAGGACACAACTGCTGTTAGTGGGCGCACAATGCAAAGCAAGAAAATAATATTGTTTTGCCAACACCCACACACTGCAGTTTATATTTTATACATACATTTAATTATATCCTGGCTGTCACCATGTCACTACACAACTTCCTGTTCCCCTGATGCCTCAGCTTCTTTTAAAAAGCAAATGTAATTTTTTTCATGCAACAACAGAGTGAATCTCAAAGTTTTTATTTCAACAATAAGGGAATGCTGCAGATACAGATAAACACTTGCCTGACTGACCAACCAGAATTTGCCTCACAGCAAACACGGTGAAATTTCATGTGTGTTGATCAATACAATGAAATATTTCTTTCTGACTTTCTACATGGCTACTCACCATATACAAATGAATACCATGTAGATAAAGGAAAGTGGTGCACGGGTTCTGTTTGTTCAGTGCAAGGTTTGTTCTTAACCACAGAATAGCATGCAAAGCCAATTCACACGCACTGTCTGAAATCTGATAGCTAACCAATATGTGCTCTCAGGGGAGCTACAGTAAACCATGACAGCTTACCTCTTGTAAGACCAGCATGCAACTTAGAATGCTGGGTAATGTGGTCTGTACAACCCCAAACTGATCTTCTGAGAAGGAGGCTTGAACAAGGTAAGACAGCCCTGGAGGAGGATAACAGAGGACAAAGTGATGCACTTGTTGTATCAACAGGTCAGAACCATTAATAAAAATAAATAATAAAAAAAAAAAGTTAATTAATAAAAATGATTAGTTAATTAACTAAAAAAGGCCACCCTCTCCTTCCTACCTTCTAAAGCCCAGATGTGAGCCTGGCTGTCTGCAAACAGAGCTTGACTCGAGGCTTCTGGAAGCTGTAAGAGATGACGTGAACTAGTACGAGTGCTCTACTGAACAGACAGATGCATATTTACAGTAGACCGAGGGATGAGGAAGTTGTTAGACGGACACTTTTAAGTGAGAATACACTAGAGCATGCATGCGTGATCAAAAGGAAGATACATAAAACCTCAGACAGCAAAGCAGACTAACCAAAATAGCTTCTACAAATAGGAAATGGTTGTATGATACAATATTTATGTGAGAGAAACTTACCAGTACTATCACACTACAAATATGATTGACATGATTTCTCAACATTTGATTAGTACAAATAAAACTGGTTTTATAATTGGCAAGTGACTTGTAATAAATGTTTACACCTTAATACAAGTTTCTAATGTAATCAGAGAAGTTCATTATTAACAGAAAATAGGCCCCAAACCAGGAGGTAAATGAGTGATGCCTGCAGGGTGAGGCTGTTTGATTTGGTGAACCAAATGAAAATCTACAGTGTCAGATGAGAGAGCATGCAGGGAGACGCAAAAAGGGTTGTTCAGAAGTCTAATGACAGCATGCACATGCCGTACATCCTTACCTTGTTAAACAAATACATTATCAGCACCCGCTTTGCCAAGAAATTTTTAACCTAAATGGGACAATTAAATGTAAAGTTGTTTTGCTTTCAAAACTAGAACAAAATGCAACACACATGTGAAGAAATATTGGCTTTTCACACTTAAGCCCTTGGCTAAAACCACCACAACTGCTTCAAATCGTAAGATGGATGTATACTACATAAGAACAAAGACAATAACCTTAATAATAACCTTTACTTCATAAAGCAGAAGTAATCATCAATAAATCTGGCTACAGAGAAGACAACTTTCCCAGCCATTGTTAAAAACATCTCTGAAGAACACCTCTCTGGTGCCAGCACAGAAGTGAAGGTGTGATTGAGCTGTGAGTGAGGACAGTAGAGAAAACAATTTGCAGAGCAAATAGAGCTCTGTCCATTTCCACACCTGTGCACATCCTGCCCAATCATTGGGTAAAGCAGAGATTACTTAAATGATCCCTTTCTATGACTACCATAGTTAGCCCAAGGTTAATATAAGTTAAGTATGAAAAGCCCTTTGTCAGTGCTGTATATTCATTCTAACATATATAGAGTAAAAACAAGACTTAAGTACCTGTTCTTTTCTGTTTTGGAGGAATTGAGCCAGGAGACTTGGTTTGGACGGTTCCTGTTTGGGACTAGGAACTGAGGCAGGGGATGGCTGGGGACTGCCATTGGCCTGTGAATCTGCACCGAAACAGATGCTAAAGCATAAATGGGAACAAGCAAGAAATCTGGATTTGCAGATCTATTATTCTACTACTAAATTTACATAACGATACCCTGACCCAAACGTATTAACGTTTGGGTCGTAAAAAATGTCCGTATGATCTTAGTGACCTGATGTCTTCCACTAGCCTCACCTGTGGAAGTGGACCAGAGTTTTGGGGCTCTCCTCATGATGTGTGGGCTCTGTACTGTTCCGAACCACGGAGAGCATTGTTCCACAGGAGCAGTAAGACGCCGCAGGGCGGGGGAGGCAAAAGGGCTATCCAGGTCAGGAGTGAATGGTGCCGTCAGAGGGCTCTGTGGGCCGCCAACAATGGAGCGTGCAAAGACCGAAGCTGGAGTTTTTAACATTAAAGTGGGCCTCGGGCTCATCAGATCTTCGGTACCCGAGGTTACTTTTAAGGGGGGAAAGACAGACAGAAAGGATAAAGAGGACTGGCCATAAACACTTAAGTTAATTTATGTTTTATAGCAGCATACCTGATGTCTCAGATGAAGTCTTCCTTTCACTCCCAGTAGACAGTGATTTGGCTCTGCCGTTGGTTGCTACAGTGTCGTGATAGGCAACGAGTCTCTGGGTCAGATCAGCCAGCAGAGACAGACACTCCTTACTGATGGCGTTCCAGTTATGAGGATGGCCACCTGGGAAAGACAGGACATACATTTTGCTTTTGTTGTGAACTAATTGTAAATACAATCTGAATATTCAAAGTGTGAAGGTTTTTTTTTGGAGGGTGGGGGGGTGGTGATCAACAAATGCCTCTGTGTGGACAACATCCCAGACCTGGCTGACTCAGACTGAAGACCTCACAGCGTCGTGATGGGCTGTGTTGAGACAGCAGAGCCAAGTCCTGCAGAGCTAGAAACTATAATTTGGGAAAGGACATGTTACAACATCCAGATTTGATGATCAGTAAGCAGGGAAACTTGGACTTGAAAGAATCTAATTATGTGTTTCCATCTACCTTCAGAACCATTGGCTGCTTGTCAGTAAGAACTTTAGGAAGACTCTGGTGGGCATCCTCAGTAAAAGATGGCTGTACAGGAAAACTGTACACCTGCAGATAACAGAAACCATATTAGATAACATATTACTTTAAAGTCAAGCTCCTCAAGTGTCCATTTAAGTTATCTTCAGAGTTGAATATCCAAAGCAGTGACAACATTGCCCCCTAGTGTCTCTAAATAATTAAAACAACAGAAGTTGTCTTGGCAACACATCTCTCTACTTTTAAGCCAATTACAGCCACAAATTGGCAATCAGATTTGATTATCAGAACTGGGTAGAGTCCATGCAATTTTATGGAGGTCACCACGGTCAGCTGGCACTTTCATCTTTTGTAAAGTGGTATTCTTTAGCCTGTGAATGTGCTGAAGCTAGGTAACAAAAAAAGTATTAATGAATTTATAATGGGAGAAGTGAAACAAAAGGGAAAAAAATAGCACAAGTGTGGAAATGTCCATTCTATAGCACAGTGAGACCTTTGATTTAGCAATATTAGGGATTGGATTAATTTTGTATTTTATTGATACACATACCTCAGTAACAAAGATCCTAAAGAGCAGCTGTGTGATGTTCCACGTGAAAAGGAGGAATAAGGCACTGATCCACAGGTGGTAGAGCAGGGAGAAGTCCAGCAGTCCAGCTATGCTGTCAAGAGGCTGGACAGAACTGGAGGTTGCACACAAATACATTAATGCAGTGCTTTATATCAGTCCATGAAGCAGCACTGTGTGGCAGGGCCAAAGGAAAACAAACAAAATATCTATCTCTCTCTTTGTGTGTGTGTGTGTGTGTGTGTGTGTGTGTGTGTGTGTCACAGAATTCATACTGACCTGTTCAAATGAAGATTCAGTGTTTTACAAATCCATGCTCTTGGAATGTATCCTGTTAACATAAAATTGCAATATTTTGTCTTTGTGCGGAAAAGGACAAGAGCAGAGTAAAAAAATTAAATCAAAACAGTCCTCAGGTATCATAATTGAACAATTAATAGTAGCATGGTTACAAGAAACATGACTAAAAAGCTTATTTGGGAAAAGATCAAAGTTTAAACTCCTCGAGCAGTTTGTTCTAAGGTATAGAACTATAGCTCTGCAATACTGAAGTTTCAATTGTAAACAGAGAACACTTACCCAAAAAGAAATACACAAATATGTAGTTTCTGACAGAGTAGAGTGCTTCAGTGGCGCTGCATTTCACCACCAAAGGTAGGGATCCCTTAAAGCGAAGGTATTTGTATTGCTGGAGAACAACAACAATAGGTGAATGTCAACGCTAACTATGAACTGCTATTTAAAAGAATAGTGCCAGTTTTCTAAAGTTTGGATCAGCCTGTGTATTATGAGACATCCTGGTTATAAGAAAACTGCATGTATGCATGTTGATTGGCAGAAGTGTAAACCAGGGCCCCGTTTCAGAAAGCGAGATTAATGAAAACTCTGAGTATGTTAATCATGAGATGAGGGAAACTCTGGGTTTTCTGTTTCAGAGACCGAGATCAGATAAACTCTAGATCAGTAACTCTGGCAACTGATGCTGTGAACCTAACCTCCTCCTGAGGTGTCATTTAGCCAGAAATACACTGAACAAATTATAAACGCAACACTTTTGGTTTTGCCCCTATTCATCATGAGTAGAACTCAAAGATCTAAGACTTTCTCTATGTACACAAAAGGCCTATTTCTCTCAAATATTGTTCACAAATCTGTCAAAATCCGGGTTAGTGAGCACTTTTCCTTTGCCGAGATAATCCATCCATCTCACAGGGGTCGCATATCAAGATGCTGATCAGACAGCATGGTTATTGCACGGGTGTGCCTTAGGCTGGCCACAATAAAAGGCAACTCGAAAATGTGCAGTTTCACTGTATTGGGGGGGGTGCAGAAACCAGTCAGTATCTGGTGTGACCACCATTTGCCTCACACAGTGCAACACATCTCCTTCGCATAGAGTTGATCAGGTTGTTGATTGTGGCCTGTGGAATGATAGTCCACTCCTCTTCAATGGCTGTGCGAAGTTGCCGTCAGGTCGAGACCCCGATGAGGACGATAAGCATGCGGATGAGCTTCCCTGAGACGGTACTTGACTGCAGAAATTCTTTTGTTATGCAAACTGAGAGTTGCAGTAGCTGTCATGGTGGCTGGTCTCAGATGATCTTGGAGGTGAAGATGCTGGATGTGGAGGTCCTGGGCTGGTGTGGTTACACGTGGTATACGCCTTTCACGGGCAACACCTCTTGTGGACATTCCTGCAGTCAGCATGCCAATTGCACACTCCCTCAAAACTTGTGACATCTGTGGCATTGTGCTGTGTGATGGAACTGCACATTTTCGAGTGGTCTTTTATTGTGGCCAGCCTAAGACACACCTGTGCAATACCCATGCTGTCTGATCAGCATCTTGATATGCCACACCTGTGAGGTGGGTGGATTATCTCGGCAAAGGAGAAGTGTTCACAAACGGATTGTGACAGATTTGTGGACAATATTTGAGAGAAATAGGCCTTTTGTGTACACAGAGAAAGTCTTAGATCTTTCAGTTCAGCTTATGATGATGGGCGCAAAAACAAAAGGGTAGCATTTATATTTTTGTTCAGTTTATCTCTTATTCAGTCTTTGTAGCACCATCAGTCAGATGAATGATACTCATGCCACATACCTGAACAGTGTGGAAAGAGACATAGTTCATGTTATGGATCACACCCAGCAGACTGTGAGAGAATCCAACAAAGGCTCCAGACAATAGAAGTATGAGGTGATGCTCATTCAGATACATCTGAGGGGAACTGTCAGCGGTGAAAACACAGCGAGGCAATTAGACTATGGATGAAGCATGTAAAGCTCAACATGATGCATTTTATGTGACAGCTGCTTACCCATCACTTTGTGTGCAAGGATAGCTGATTGTCTCATATCTGTCCCCGATGGTGACGGCACAGCACCAAGCCACGATTATTCCCATCATACAGTGGGCCAGGGCGTTGACAAACTGACGAGGGTGGATCAGCTGACCCAACAGGGCAATTTTCGAGCATGCAATAGTTGGGATAACTGATGAGAGGCAAAAAAAAAAAAACAGAGTTACAACCAAAGACTAACATACCTTTTGTGCTATCAGATGTTTTGTATTTCACTAACTAGACACTGTTCCCAACAATGCATAATATGAATGTGCAGGTATATTAGTTCCAACTCAGTGAATTTACATTACTCAGGTTGTAATAACTTGCAAAAGAGATTTTATAATTACTTTAAACAATGTGTTGATTACTCTGTTAATGAATAAACTAATTATAGTGCTATAATACATGCAATGACTTTGTCCTACGTAAGTTTCATCATATGCGGACACTCCATTACATTTTGCCATAAGCCGTCACTTCTGATTAATTCACCTGAGATATCAGTTTGATTTGTCTTGTGTACATACGCCCTGAAATGATGAGCTGATGAAATGTGTCTTTGCTCTGCTAAACGTAAAGGCTACTAAACCAGTAACAGCAAGGCCATGTCAGTCACTAGACATTCTTCAAGATAAGGCTAGGTATAAGTAAAACAACAACCTCAAGTAAATATTCAATTCACAGCGTCCTGCCACTTACCTGTATAATACTCCAGGTTCAGGAACCCAACTATGAGGATCACTCCACACAGCAGGATTAGGGTGAAGATGGCACTTGCACTTGTTAAGAGGGACAGGCATTCTGCATGTAAAAAGCAGTCTACAGTAAGCTTCACACACCTTCTGATATCAAGGAATCAAATCTCAAAATAAACGCTGTGACTGACCTGATGTCGTCTTGATGGGGTGGAGGAGATGGAACCTGCTGAGGATTAGAAAAACTGCCGTGATGGGTGGCAACAACAGGACAGCCCAAGCAATGCTGGCCACAGCTCTCCAGCAAATCACCTGAACAGAAAAGTCAGTCAATACTATATACATACCAAATACAAAATCATTAACTCACTTCAACAGAGGTAGCTGTTAAGACTATAACATGTATATCTGACAATGTATTAGCTGTCAGTATGTTAATCCAAAGGTATAACAGCCCTGCTGGGGTTTATGCAGACCTACATTGCCTACTCCTACTGTAAACCTGAATGATAGAAAATGGCTTGAAAGACTCATCAGAAAGGGGTTTGAACAAGTCATACTTGTGTTACATATACATACATATTCAACTTTGTTTTCTATGGTGTGGATGGTAAGAAAAAAATATTTTGAGTTAGAATACACTGTTGCTGGCAGCTGCAAGACCCAGATTGTATGTAACAGTTATCAAATAAATAATGAGCAGATTCATTCATAAAGAAATTAAGTTACTTGCAGCCTCGGATCTTAGTATTTTGTGTTCTTCTACGGTAGAAACCATTGAGCATCCAATCTTTCGTGTGTAACGTTATATACATCCAGATGTTGGAATCGCATTTAAATATTAAATAAATAAATAAATAAATAAATGCATATTCACTTGCTAAATATTAACAAGTTGATCATTGTGCTGGGTAAATCATAATTACGTAAGTGGACTAACGTTAACAGACTTTAATTAATGTATTTCTGCTCAAGTTGGTATAACGTTATTTCTTTCAACATAAATCTCAAAATTATATCAAGTATTATAAAAGACTGAACAATTTTATACTGTGATGTCACGAATTTTTTATTTTATTTTTCTCTTGTATAAAACATTAGATAGAGGGAAGTTATTTTGCTCTTGATAATCGTGTTATTTTGTACGTGTTGTGGTTGTTTTTTCTCAGTATAGCAACGTTATATGCTCATATCTTGCGCCAAATTGCGTTACCTTATCTTAATTGTACTTTTCTTTCTGTTCTGTAACTTGTCTTTGAACTTTTGTGTCGCTTAATAAAAAAACTAAAACAAATTTTTGCTTCGCTCAAGTCAACTAGCATGAACAGACGGGCTACTTGATGTTAGCATGCTAGCACGCGTGATACATTTTCTCTTTTATGAATGAAGAATTAAGTTTAAAGACTCACCTTGCGGACAAACCAACAACTTTGCTGTGCAGAAAACATGTTGTTTGGATAGATGGAGAGCAACGCGGCGATATTAACCTCGGCTCTCCTGATGTCAAACTATTTTCCACTCAGTTCCCATATCGCGCCACATGCATTCAAAGGACCTCTAAAGGACCCCGATTAAAAGTTGTCCATATCCCTGCCTGCTGCCAGTAAAACAGCCACACGAATTTATTTTTAATATATAATAATATTTATAAATTCAGATTGTTCGGCCAGTGCAAACTTGGTTACACGGAGTAAGCTCCCAAAAACAATGGCTTCGTTAAATGTGGACTTAAACAGATCTAAAAAGGTAGGTTACAGTTGAATGATACAAACAGGCCTACTGAAATACTTTTATTGTCCCAGAATTAAATTACACAAGGCACCAAGACAAGCCATAAATCAGCTTTTCCTTGTTTAAATTTGAGTCATTTGTTTATTGTCAGATATAGCAAATAATTATTGGACTATCAATGCAGTGTGTTAGTGGTTGCCTGTCATGGGCCAAGTCAATTCTGAATTCCCTTAGTTTCATCATGCATGAACGTTTTCTTGTCATGATGATGATAGCCATTTCCATAAGCTGGAAAACTACCCAAAACAGTCTTTTTGTCATTGTCCCGAGAGAATGACTTGGTCTCAAAAGCATTGACTGGGAGCTTTTGGGATGAATTGATGGACATCTCAGTTTGAACTGCTTTATGGGCTAATGGTTTCTGTCCAGGTTTGAGGCTAATTGAAGGGAGAGTGAGCTGCTCTCTCTGGGACTTCTTGTCTTCCCACAACTTCAGCAGGCGCCGTTGATTATTTGTCATATCCTTGAGATTTTGCTGCAATGACTGCACTTGATCCTCCAAAAGTGTTTTAGACGTGACCGTATTTGCCAACTCTGATGTCAGATCATCAATGGTCAAACTCAGTTTCCCAGCCTTCTCCATCAGGGAATTGCACTCACGCTCCTTTTCATGCAAGTCATTGATAATGTCCTTTGTGGTCTTTCCATTGAACTTGGGGTTGCTCTCAAGTCCAATCTCAGTCCGAAGAGCTTTCACTTGTTTCCTAAACTCCTTGTTGTCCAGAGTCAGGGTCTTCAGTTTCTGTTTCAGAGCTTCAGTTGAACGCATCCTTGACTCATACTGTCTGAGTTTCTCTCTGAGAACACTTTCTCTGTGCATGGCTTCATCTCTTTCCTTCCTGCATTTCTCCAAAAGTTTCAATGTCTCAAATTTGGACACTTTTTCTCCTTTGCCATTTGAGGTGGCCATCCTTGGCTACGTTTTCCAGATCACAATATTAAAAAATAAATATTTAAAAAGGCATTTTCTTTTTCTTTAATGTAATACTCACAAGCTATCTAAATAGGCCATGAGCACTGTGTTGTAAATCCACTGCTCAAGCATGAGCAGCTACATGCGTGTCTGAGACTGAGGCAAGTGACATTCCTCTAACAGGGTTATGTTTGACAGGCGGCTCCTGTGTAACTCAAAGCTGGAGCTAGAATGACCATTAATTAGGGCGCCACCACCCCATTGACACCGTTTCAAGTGACACAATTTTTTTTCTAATTTGTTAATTAACAAGGGCAATGTTTTTAAATGAATCAATGGAAATATTAAACTAAGAGGACCCCTGCATCTAATGTGTCCCTATAGAAACAGACTTTACATACATAAGTTAAAACATTTTCCACTGCATGTGATCTGTGCATCCAAACAGAGACAAAGTAGATTCTATCAGTTTGCTCGACCAAATGACGGTTTGGATGGATGAGTTGGAAAAACAGTAGCAGCAGCCAAATGGCCACATTTAAAGTTAGACACCCTCTTTGAAATGTTGAAGTTATACCTATTAGTTACGATCTCTCCCTTAAATATTTAAAACGTCCAACTGCTGAAACGTACTGGCGGCCTTTAATGCTGTCAGGTGCTGGTAGAAAAGAGTCACGTTGCGGATACGTGTGGGGTTTGGGGTTGTTATACCTAAAACCTTTGGGTTTAGTGAAGGAAAAAGGTGGACCAAAATTGTTCACTGGCATTTTAAACATATGATGCATTTTTACAGGTATTTCCACGTAGACAGATTTTACAAATGACAGATGTAGAATCCAGATGCTTATTTTTATTTGGAAACAAAATGAAGATACACTGCAGTGATACGATTTAGTGTGTGAATATTTTAAGATTGTTTTAGAATTTATGTAATTTGAGTTGTTTAGCCTAGGTTTTCCATGTTTTATTGGAAAAAAATATATAGACAAAAGAACTTTGTTATTTAAAGGAATAGATAGACATTTTGTGAAATAGGCGTATTTTCTTTCCAACCAAGTGTTTCCCAGTTTCCAGTCTTTACGCTAAGCTATGCTAAGCTAAGCAGCTGCTGGCTGTAGCTTGCTAAAGGCATGAGAGTGGTATCAATTTTCTGATGTAAGTCAAGGAAAGAAAGTGAATTAGCATATTTCCAAATATGTCTAACTATTTATTTAATGTGGGTAAAGACGGTGTGCGAATCATCATCTGTTCATAGAGTTGAAAAATAGCATTATTTTTTCATTATTTCATTAATAAAAAGGTGAGTCCCACAAAGATGTTTTATTTTTTCCCATGAAACACTTAGAGAACGGCCAATTTCATACATTTTACCAAATGTAATTTATCACAATAAAAACAAATTAATAAAAAATGTGTTACAGAAGTTGTAAATACCTTTGACATTTAGAATGAGTCTTTGGCATTAGTTGAGGGCACTTGCGGTTATATCAGTTGGAGGAAAATACAATAACTATATTTGTACATAATAAGTCCAAACCTTGAATATCTCACCAACACCTATAATTGTTGTGCTGTTCAGTAAGTAAACTAGCCACTTCCCATTAAAGGAATATAAAAAATGCATAACAAAGTACCATTGATGCCACCAACAGTACTGCACAGACTGGTTATCTAAATATTTCAACGAAAGAGCTATAAAGCAGAGAACTGCCATACTAAAAGAGATCTTATGTGCTGTGTGACACAACACCCATCCCAATAGAAATAACATAATTGGTACTAGTGTTTGTTTTCAGAGGTCACGCAGGTGAACCAAGCATACACACTGGGTTTTAAGGTCTTAAGCCAGAATGTCAGAATGCAGGTGAAATCCAGACGACCCATTACTTCATCAGCACAGCAACCCGATTCTCTTTAACAAGGCAACAGGAGAACCTGCAATTTAAAAAAAGAATAATGTGCTTTGGGAAGGAGAAATCATGTAAAGGAAGTCCGGTGTCAGATGTTCCACTCAAGCAGGATAAAAAAAACAAAAAAAAAAAAAACACACACACCACTAAGATAGGCCTAACAATGTACAGCTGCTACTGAAATATTATCATTCTTGATACAATTGATTGTAAATAGAAAAACAAGAAACCATTCACGTACAAGGTGGAGGAATATAACTTACATGTATCAGTTTATAAGTGTATTTGTATGGGATCACAGCTTAAAAAGCTTCTGTGTCAATATTTTTTACCTTTAGACAATGAAAGGCTTTCAAGTCGAAGACGGTGCCTTGGTTACATCTGTTGCAGCACTGTTGTCAACTTGTAATACTGGTTGTGGTTTACTAAAGAAATAGGCCTGAAAACAAAAAACAACAATTACAGTAATAAGAGAAACTACTAATCAATCAAGAACTAGAGCCGGTGTGTCTGTGAGAAAGTGTGCAGCAAATGTTCAGTGTTACAGGAGAGAATACAGCATTCCTGCAACCCATTCATCTTGGTCAGCCTTCAGACATGGGCTCACTTTGTAGACTAATTACATGAATGTGACTAGACATACGATACCTGTGTGGACCTGACAGTACTCACAATAAGAAGTGCACTAACAGCGTGCTCTCACACCAGTTAGAAAATGCGGTCAAAGTTTCCAAAGAAGAGAGTCTCCTCAGAGGGAGTTAACTTGACACTATCAGGTCTAGTAATTTCCCAGAAACACACAGGGAGCGACACGAAAAAATGTCCGTGTAGTGTAGTGTCTGTGATTGACACAGACAAGTTAGGTCACGGCTTGGCCACGCTACTGACATCATTGAGGACAAATGAGAGTGAGTCAGTCATTGTGGCTATGTATACCAAGACGGACAGGCAGCAGGAAGCAACTGGATTAGTGAAGATGTAGTTTGCCAAAGCTGGACAATGAATGCTGTATCTTATTTCTCTAAACAGAGTCATTTTCCATATCTCTCAGATTTGTAATTAAAGCTAAAAGTAACGTTACGTAAAAGCAGCATCATAGGTTTAGCAAGCGTACTTACCTTACAACCAACAGCAAGCAGAACGTTGAGCACAACAATGGCAGACATGATTGTTATGATAACTTTGGGGTGGTCATCCCTGACTGCAGGCCAGAAAGTCATCACCAGCACTGAGCCGGAGAGGCACAGAGCCACCACGATGGAGCACCACCTCAGCCATTCATATGGGAGGATCCCCACGACCTTGAGTAGGAAACAACAGCATATTATCTCATGTTATGAGAGCTATTACAGACAATCAACGCTCTAAATGTATTCATGGTACGGGGGAAATAATTACTCATCAGCTGTCAGGATGTGTAACATGTAGCAGACACATTACATTGTGATGAAAGGTAACTATATAGTTTTATATGCATAATTCATACAGTGTTCTAAAAATCAATTTACACAGTATATTGAAAAATTCACCACATGCTGTGCTGTGGTTTTCTGAGCTGAGCTTCTACTGTTAATATTGTCACACCTGGTTGTCTTCATCATTTTTTAAAAGAATAATGTTTGTCTGCTGATGCTAGGGCTGGACAATAAAACAATCACAATTATTGCAATATAATTTTTTTCAATAACAATTTAACAAACGTTCAATAAATGTTCACTTAAATAATACACTTAAATCATACACAAATTAGGACTTAATTTTTTTTATTAAGATGTTTATTTTGTTGAGGAAAAAGGACTGAAAAAAGCGTTTACTTAATTTTACTCATGCATATTTGTTGACAAAGACTTATCATAATTGTTTTGAATTGTTCTGCCTAAGACTTGGGAAGTGATCCACTGTTTGGCCTCAAGTGTGGAAAATAAAGAAGAGTTTAAACCACAATTAACCATCTGGTTTCTTCAACTTTCACTCAGGAGCCAAAATCTGCCTCGAAAGAAATAACGATTTGATACTTATCGTAAATATCGAAAGATTAGACACTTTTTATCGTGATAATATTTTTGGCCATATCGTCCAGCCGTAGCTGATGCACAATATACGTAGCTGAGAAGCCACTCTAAATGGGTCAGGGTAGCTTCTAAAAAAAAACCTAAACTGTCAAGAGCCAAATATTATTATTATTATTAACAGGTGAATGTTATCAAAATGTTCAGGAGAAGGCTGGTGAAATCCTATGAAAAGAACAAATCCAACAGTTAATTGATCCTAAGACGTTTTGTCTGTGTACCCAAGACTTTAAAGCCATTAAAAAGCCAATAGTGAGACACACTGTTTCATTATCATAACCATGGTCACTAGTTTATTTGAGTTGATCCCACATACACTATGGGCCTGATTTACTAAAAGTTTGCGTGAGTAAAAACATGCGGAAACTTGATATCAGCAGCAAATTAACACTTAGGCTGATCTGCGCGCAGAATGACGTCTTTCAAAAGTGCAAGATAGCACTTCATGTTCATTTAGTACTTTTGCCTTATTGAATATGCAATTTGGAGCGTTTCAATTTTATTGTGCAAAGTAGTGGGAGGGAAACATGCAAATACATTTATTTACTACACGAAATGTGATCTACCAAGCCTAAACACAATTTCATGTGAGTGCAACAGCATCTGTATTTAATATGTTTGGAAGGAAGGTGAAAACCTCCAAGTGTTGCGCAGAGATGGCTGCTGCAATATTAGATAATATTATTCTATATCCAATGTATTGAAATACCATTATTTTATTTTTTCAATGAACTAAATTAATTGAATGGGGGTTTTCTTGTATTTTCCTTAAGCTTTGGCAATACTGTTGTATTAACATTCATGCAAATAAAGCAAATTTTGTTTCGACCTGACTTCTTTTCTCCGTGAGATGGAAGAATTTAGAATGTTGCTTGGCGCTGCAGAGATCCCCCAGCTGCAGTGCATGGATCACACGTAAAATTCATCCAGCTACAGGGAACGATCACCAACTGTTTACAGCGCTGGTCGTAATAGCGACACAACCAATTGTAGGTCTTGGAGAGAGAATGGGACGGCCAGGGCCAGAGGATCGCGGAGCAACCGGGCATGGTGCGGACAGTCTGCGATTCTTCCCTCTGGCTGGATGAAGCACGATCTGCACGTATTTCCTCACGTCTGAGTCATTGCAGCATACTGTATCTGATTCTGCTGGGGTTTCCCAAAGCAGTTTTTCAGGTGTGCTGTCCCAAGTACTTAGTGCAATCTCAGGCAGGATGGACAGGTACATACGATTTCCATATACGCACTGAACGATGTTGACGATGGATGGATAGATATTCGGGATGTTAGTAAATCGGGCCCTATATGGACAACAGTACTGGGACACCCCTGTCCCAATACTTTTGGCAGGGGCTGTTTTTTAATGGTGTCTTTCTTAAGGGAAACATTAATGCTACAACAGACAATTTTAGACAACAGTTCTTCTAACAGTTTGTGTTTGGCCTTTTCCTCTTTCAGTGTGATAATGCCCCTGTGCACAAAGCCAGCTCCATAAAGAAATGGTTTTCCCAGTTTGGTGTGGAAGAACTTGACTGGCCCGCTCAGAGCCCTGACCTCAACCAAATCAAACACCTTAGGGATGAACTAGAACGGAGATTGTGAGCCAGGCCCTCTTGTCTCACATCAGTGTTTGACCTCACAAATACTCTTCCGGATGAACTGACCAAAATGAGCTACAACAGAAAATGGAAAAGCAGAGTTTAAAAACATTAGGGTCAGGCTGAAAAGTTCAGAGACTAAAGAGTCAAAGGTCTTTGCTGAAGTGCAAGTAAATGTAAAAAGTAACCGACTCGTTCCATAGTAGTAGTACTAGTACCCAGGCCACAGACGCTAAGACCGGGAAGAAGAAGATGCCACAGCCCTGTACGCGGGTGAAAGAGTAGACGGAGATGACAACGAAGCCAGAGATAGTGCAGCTGAACGGTAGATATGCGTCTAAATGTCTTAATACAACATATTATCAGAATTTAACAGTGAAATGCAAATGCTGTTGGTCAACTACTGTTTTGTAAATGTACCAAAAAGAAAGAACTGAGGTAAAGAGTACAGTAACAGTGTGTTCAAACCGGCTAATGGAAAAACTAAAATCTGATGCTTAGTGTTAGTAAAGCTCTACATTTAACTGTCCTGTGGGGATTTTGTAGGAAATAAATCACTTTAGTAGGTATCAGTGATTTACTGTTTTTATTTTGCTTAAAGAAGCATTTTGTGTTGCCATTCATTCACTTGATATGAAATAGTGGCGATGTTGCTGTTTACATTTATTCATTTAGCTGAGGCTTTTATCCAAAGCGACTTACAACTGCTATATATGTCATAGCTTGTACGCCTCTGGAGCAACTAGGGGTTAAGTGTCTTGCTCAGGGACACATTGGTGTCTCACAGTGGATTTGAACACAGGTCTCTCACACCAAACGTGTCTTATCGACTGCGCCACCACCAGGTTGCCGATCGGTGCTGCTCCCTTATGTTACGTTTTATGTTTGGAGAGGTGTCCAACCAGCTGACCCTGAGCAGCAGTTAGACAGTTCTCTGTCTCAGTGAGGATTGTGGATATTTTTGTCTTTTTATCTCGAGGCTTCGTGTGGTGTGAGGTAGTTCAATCATGTCAATTTCAGTGTGTGTTCTGCAGCCTTTTTAAAGTAGTACTGCCATAGTGATCAATGGCTGTGATGCTGATAGGAGGTTGTATGAGAGGCTGGTCCTCTTTGTACGTGCGTGCATTAGCAGGGCAGCCATGGTGGACCATTCTGGTGGGCTGGTCTGGATCAAAGTCCAGGGCCATTTTTTACTCCCAGTCTGTCCCTGGTACATTATGTATACGTCTTCAGTAGAAACCAATTGGCTTGGGTCTGAGCACCCCAGCCAGGGAGACGAACTTGGAAAGTCTAGAAAGACGGACTAACATGTTTTGACTGAAAATGCAACATGCCCTGTAGCATATGAAGTAGAGCAGTGAATGTTATAAACCGTTACACCTGTTATTCTGGGACAAACAATTCAGCCTCCTCCTAAGCCACTTACCTCTGCTGGAATGTAAATTGCAAGAGAATAGCCATACACACAGACGATCTCCATAAAAGAGTATGACACTAAGTTCATGATCTTGTTGTTTCTCCACAGCAGGAAACCCCAGAGGGCAAGGGGCACCAACCAAGCATAGCTGAAGATCGCTGTTGCAGCTATGGTCACTGGAAAGCACAGCAAATTCAAAAATAATATGTACAGTTTCCGCTCACATTCAACCTTAACAAGAGAGCCAGGATTACCAAAGAGCCCTTACCCTTTTGAAACTCTGGGGTGTACTTATAATCCGGGTCACCTAAGTGCACCAGAAAGTTTGATATGTTTCCACAGATGGCAAGGGCAAACACAAGAGTGGTACAAATCCAAAAGGGTCCTGAAAGCACAAGAAGGCGGCATTAGAACGTCAGTTTTGGTTTCTTTAAACAACATTCATTACAAATATTACAAACTTTACGCTACAGTACAGAACCAGAACACAGTTTTCTCTTATTTGCCAAACCAAAAAATGTCTAATAACCTCAAATTGGGACACGATTTTTAAAGTACTAACCATAAAGATCAGGATTTCCACGAAGGTAGACGTGAATAAAGTTCTTTCCAGGCCACGGCACCACTGATCCAATGATCCTTTCCTTCACCTGAATGAAATGTTCATTACCATCACATATACAAAGTTACTTTTGTTCAGAAGCACTCCATAGACCAAGGCAATTCATCACAGTGGTTAAAAGTCATTAAAATAATTTTTATTACATGATGGGTCTCGATGTCAAAAAATCTTTGGTAGTACTCAAACGTCCAGAAAGGGACACTTTTCTTTTGCCCAGAGAGAAGCTTCAATAGAAAAAATGGGGAAAATGGAAAAAAACAAAATGAATATTCGATGCAAAAACATTTAACAGAAATATATCAAAATATTCACTCATTCTCCATATGTGTTAGTCTTGTTCAGACCTCTGTCTTGTCATCACTGGCTAGTGGGTCCTCGTCACCACCATCAGGAGTGAAACCAGCAGCTTTTCTCTGCTTCTCTGGCTTGACATCTTCATCTTCAATACTAATAGTGGTTGCATATCTGTTGGCTTCCAACAGATTGCCGGCTTCTTCAAATTCTAATTTCATTGCATGGATAAAGAGAAAATATGAATCAAAGGTTTTGACAGTTTATTTGAGTGAACTCATTTGTTGCTACCAGTGCATCGCAGGGAGAAACTCTAACATCAATTAAGTAACTTAATTTCTTAATCACACAAAAGACTGTAGAGGATATTCACCCTGAAATTGAAATGGATCATTTGTCGACGCCATTTACACTCTCAGTAACAGGTTTCGTCTCTTAGGAACTTATAGGCAAGTTAATGTTTCACTGAGGCAACAACCCAGTCTTAAAAACCTGCGAAGAAAAGAGACTTTTAGCTTCCAAGCAAACTATTCCTTCCCTGTGTGTTGGTTTAAAACGTTGTAAACTATGAGCAGTACAGCACAAAAAACAATGTTATAACGTTAAGTTAGCATTAGTTAGCTACCAAGTCAATACTTGCCAGCTTCAAATCAACTAATAACATTAGGAATGACACATACAAAATACCAAGAGCATCGGTTGTATTATAAAACTCAATGTACAGATTTCTGCAAACAATGCATGCTTACCAAATTATCTTCCAAAACTCATGAAAATCATTTCACTTGACTTCCCTAAGCTAGGTTAGCGTTGCGTGGAACAGGACATCCCAGCCATGTAAACAAGCCTTTTTCCTGTGGCTAAACATTTTCAAAGTAATTGTTTATTTGTTAAACCGTACCACTTTTTTAAAAATAAATTTAACATATAATTGACCGCGGCATGATAGTTTACTAGTCATGTTTCAAAAAATATATTTAGGTGAAATTATTGCTACGTATTTTGTATTATGGTGTAGTGAGACGAGTTTTTATTAGTAGTGGACTTTTATTTTGAAGTTAGCTAGCAAAGCCCACAACTATGATGTGATGACTTAACGGCTGGCTACAACAAGGAACTCTTAAGTACGAGTAAAAATATGGGATATAACTTGACGTACTATGCGGAATAAGACGAGAAACGATAACTGATAATAAAATAGTCCTACTTTAAACTTAGAGATCCTTTTGGTCTTGGTTTTAGCTCACTCAACAACCATAGATTAGCTAACAAGCGAGCTAACTCACCGTCAATGTCAGTATAATGCTTAGCTGGCTAGCTGACCAAACGTGCCCAAGTTAAGAGTTTTGTCCTTCTCACAGGAAAAGGAAACGTGTGACCTTAGTATGGACAATAGCACCATTTATGTCCGAGAAAGAGGCAATCTTCGTCGTGTCAGCGACATAGTTCTGGCACAGCCACGGCCAGTGTCATCATGCAGAAGGACAAATCCGTTTGTGCTGAGAAAAGAGCACTTCATATTCACCTACAATGCAGAGGGGAGTCTGAGATACACCACAAAATCTCTCTTTGACATCACTCTTTTATTCGTAGCTGACAACATTCACCATGTGGACTCTCTGGTGGGCTTCCCTGAACAAATAGGAGACAGACTTTTTGCAGCCGCAGAGGAGAATCGTGTTTTTTTAAACGCAGACGTTTCACCGAAAGCGCTGCAGTTATTCAGCGATGCATATGGGGAGATGGTGCTCGGATCCCTCTGCCTGAGAAATAGGTACGTTATAGTGCCAGTATGTCTCCAGCCTCCCAGTTTGTGCTGCCAGAGGGAACAACATCTCATGTCCCTTTCATTTCTCCAGATTTCCACTCTTGCATGAGAGGATGGATGAAATAAAAACATTTCATAGCCTGAAGTCTCTGGATCTGTTTGGCTGCAGACTTGGTGATGATCATGAGATATTCCTGCATCTAACATCCAGCCCACTGGCAAGGTAGTACCTGATTTCTCAGTCCCAAAGACATGTTGTGGAAAATTGAAGGAGGATGTTACTAACACTTTTGCCTTTCTTCTTCAGCAGCCTAATTCAGCTTTTCATTGGTGGTAACAGTCTGTCAGATGTCGGCCTACAAAGATTGACTGCACCTATCCGAATGATGAGGAAGGGACTGGGCTGTCTTCAGTTCCTTGATGTTTCCTGTTAGTGACCTAAATAATATCATACTGTAGCGGCAGCAAAAATACCACCATCTCCAAATTTAGAGAATTTAGATAAAGATGTTATTATTGTGTTTCTCATACAGATAACCCTATCTCAGAGAGGGCTCTCAGATACCTCACATGCCTCCCCAAACTTGAAAAACTTGATATTTCTGGGACCAGTTTGAAGGTAAGACAGTAATTGTAGCACTTGGCTGTAGCCTATTGTGATGCTGACCTCCAATAAATGCGATGTAATGTATACCTCCAGCTTGGCACGGCATTGAAGACGAACATAAGGGACCTGTTGGGGCTCATATATTCCGAGAAACCACTTGACGCTTTAGATCACTCGAGATGTAAAACACAAGGTTGGGCAGAGCAGGTAAATATTTTCAGATGCTGATGAAAGTAAGCATACGTTTATTTAATCTGAACAGCATTCTTTAATTATAGACTAAATGTTGCAGATGTAGTCCCGTTTTACATCTCAAACAAATGCATGGTCTCATTTTCAGGTTGTAAACCAGTGGGAAACAAATAGCTCACAAATGCTAAAACAGAAGAAAATTGACGAATCCAGAACATCAGCACTTCGCTTTTGTAAGTTAATATTACATTACATTCCTATTTGTAATACACAATTTTGTACTTTTTTAAATGTATCACACATTATCTAAGTTTTAAAAGTGTTTTTGTTCTCTAGTTGGCAGGCAGAAGTTTGTCAGAGATGTACTGAATGCGGCACCCTTGGTATGCGGGAGCGAGGAAGAGGCCAAGACAGAGAGACTGCATTTCTACAGACCTGCAGCAAACAGTCACATACCAGAGAAACAGACTCCTTCCACAGCAGCTACCCAAGCGATGCCTTCCTGGATCAACGTCAAAAAAAGGCAGCGTCCGTCAGAGAGGTGTGACAGTCTACATCAGGACCGCCCAACAAAACGTTTATCCTCACCATCTCTTACTGCGGAGGACATAGACTTGTTGAACAGCTATTGAGGAAGCATTCCACAAAGAGTAGAGAGAAGCACAAGCATGTCAAGTTATCAGGCAACATTTTTCCAAGATGATTGACACTGGTGAACTGTAAACACATTTCCTTGGAGGCAGGTGGTGTCATTTATATATTTTTACAAATAAAGTTTAGTATTTTGTATGTGTCCACTTTCTCGCTTGTTATTTTGCTGCTTCAGAAACGCAGAGGGGTGCTGTACACAGTTACCGATCATGCTATGTTAACAGAGTACTGCACCGATTTAGCCAAGTGCAGTCCACAGCTGGGGGTGTCAAGGTTGGAGAGCTAGCAAGAGACAGTTAGATTTTTAAAGTATCCCACCCCCTCCCTTCAGGCCTCCTCCTAAGCCACTCTCCCAAAAAACAATGTCATGCACAACAAAGGCACAGGCAGATAGTTGGCTGTGCTTATTATAGGGATGGGCAATACATTTCTAGGGTAGACAATAAATGAAATGCTCTAACACAAAAGTGAAAGTAATCCAACATATTTGGCTGTTGCATGACTGTGCCTACCTCTGCTGACCCGCATTTTGCATGAAAATTTATTTTGGGACGAGTGGCTTTGGACAGAGGCCTGAAGAGACGGGGTGGGACTCCAGCTTTAAGTGATCACATATTTTATTGCCAAAGAGGCAGTTCTGAGGATATTCAAACCAAAACAATTAGAAGCTAGGAAAATGGCACCTCGCAGCAGTCTAGCTTGAGCAAAGAATCGTACTGTAGTGTAGCTTGACTCAAAGAAACCTGTGATAGCATTTGTAAGATTAAGGCAAGGGATATTTTCTGACTCTGTCCCCATGGAAATAATTGCACTGGGTACTTTAATCCTCATTTCTTCCACATCCATTTTGCTTACTGTTAGCCATGTTAGCTTCAGTATATAATGATTGGGGAAAAAAGATCACACCCATGACTTCGCTCTATTGTATTTTATTCTGATCCATCATTCCAAGAACAGACAACAGTAAAGCAGGGAATGGCCTACTGTTTGCACCGTCACCATTAAGATTAAGAACATAGAACTTTATTGTAAAATTCAATATAACCTGGAAATCACTGCAGTAGAAATGTGAGAGCAAACAGGGAGAGTCTGCAATATTTGCACAACCTATTCGACCAAAGTTTGGGGGTTTGGGGTGAAACCTCTCACTTCAAGTCACAAATAGTTTATTTAAACATTATTCAATAAAATAAGCAGACCCAACAAAGAGCTAATGCAAACAAAATAACAATCCCCAAACCTATTTGTACGGCCATCACTATACTATAATGCCTCAATCATACCAATATACAGAAAAAACACCTTTTCACCACTCAAAATTAAAAGCTTCAAAAAGACGAGACATTATCAGTAATACAAAATGTTCTGTAATTAGTTCCGTTTAACCACATGAAGCACAGGTCTCGTGCCAAAGGATTGTTGTTGTTTTGTTTTTTTAAATCAACTACAAATTATATATAAAGGAGGATTTCCCTTCTCTGCTACAGCTTTGGCTTCTAGATGTCAGACTGGCCCAGGTTCACTTTGGAAGGGAGTGGGCCAGCCTCTTCCTCTGGCCCTTTAGAGGTGATGATCAGGAGGGAGGATGCTGGATATGGAGTCAGTTTCTGTTCCTTCATGTACTCTTTGTCACCATATATACTCAATTTCTGAAAGGAGAAAACAAGAATTTTTTTGGCTTTTAACATTGCCAACATAAACAAAACTCAAGTGACAATACTGAAATATGGAAAAGATTGAATGCACAGGTCCCCGTAAAAAGGCAATTATACGTTTAACACTTCTTTTATACAGTTAAAAAACAAACAAGATATAATGTTTAGCGGTGCTGGTATTTAGAGTGTAAGGTGGCCGATACATAATGCCGATGTCAAAACAAAGAAAAGTCACGTATAATTCCATTTTTCCATGCAGAGGACAATTTAATATGGTTATCTTAGCCAGTGACGTGCTGTTTAGAAAAAAAAAAATACACTGGGTTTTGCTGTAGATTTCAGAATGTGAATGGTGTTTAAGGTAGAGTGGGGTAGTTTATCAGAAGTGAAATCATTCAACTGCATTATTCTATACAGTATAACTAGATATTTAGCCAGTAATGTTTTTGCCGGAGTGGCAAGTTATTTAATTTGTAACAAATGTATCTTCCATAAAGTTTTAACAGAGCTCTGTCTCTACATCACAGTAACAACTTTATGTCCATTAACTGCCTGAAGGTTAGCTAGTGTTTGGAAGGGAGAGGCAGGGAGAGGAGAGGCAGCAGGCTCTTGTCACTGTGTGCTGCAATTTAGAGTGTTTTTCCACTGGTGTTTTTGAGGGCGTGTCAGACTAGCTGCTTGGCGAGCATTATGACGTGCATTATACTGTCACATCACAGCACAGAAAGGGAAACGGCTGGACTACAAACAAGCTGTTTTCAAGCAGTTCGGAGCAGTGTTTTCTGTGGGATGTGGGAACTCCCTTTGGACTGGACTTTGGGCTTTTTCACTTTGCACAAAAAAGATTTATAACTCAATAAAAAGGTCTGCAGACATTTTTTGTTTATCATGAATGCAGGCATCGGCCGATGCAGATTGTCTCTGAATGCCAGATATCGGCCCAATTAACTGGCCGACTACAAGCAAATCACCCCCCCCCCAAAAAAAGCAATCAATCATAAGGAGTACAAAAACAAAACTACAGCACCCTGAAATGACAGGGTCATTTACATGGGACAGAACTTACTTCAGCAGGTACATACTGGTCTACAGCAGTTGCCACAGTGGCACAGCAGATCCAGATCAGGACCAGCACAGACAGGATCAGAGTTGTGGTTAGGATCCAACCTGGTAGCCAAGGGCTCCTGAGGTGAGAAGTACAAATTCTTCTAAGCTGATGAGGTTCCATGGGGATTAGAACCTAGGTGGCATGCCCTACTAAGCAAGTTAAACAATTTACATTACATGTACTAACAAACCTTGAAAGACAGCTGAAGAGATTGTATTCATCATCATAGCTGCGGTCCCCGGTCATATCTCTGTCCCTCTCCTGGATAAAAGTGCGATGGTATTCTTTGTAAATTGGGCGGCTCAACCCAGGGACTTGAAAATGAAAAATAACAATTACTTGACATGCACATATTTGTTTAGTTTCCCTTGTTGTATTGCAAGACTAACTGATTGTGTTTGAAATATAGCCTTGATGAAGGTGTCTTTAAGAATGCTGGTATTATTCTATATTTTCCTCTCTGCCAACAAATTCAATAGAAAGACCAAAAACCAACAACATGTTTGTTAGCCTCATAATACTTTCTGCTGCACAACCCTGTCAGTGGGAATTAAGGGGCCAGTGTACTCCGTCAGAACTGCTTGTTCACCTTTCCAACATCGGATTAGGGGGGGTGGTTGTGTCTGACCATTTCTGTAATTTCCAAAATCTACGAACTCACATTCACACCGATTTCACACGTGTTTGGTCAGCCATACATTGGAGGGGAAAAGCACGGGTTTGACCTTCTCTCTCAAGATCCTTTTTTTTTAAGTCCGGTCACAACTATTTGTCACTTTTCATGTGACCAAGAGATACATCTACGCATTAAATTATCTTCTCATATTTAGATACCTGCACTTGTATGGACATTTCACTCCACCTCTACCTGTAAGCTATGCTTTATTTAAAATTACATCGAGGACCGCAAGCTTTCCAGGTGATTTTGTTATTATTAATGTGTGAGTGTTTTCTTTAACAATTTACTTTAATAATTAGAGAGGGTGCTGTCAGTAATTTTTAACATTTCCATGTGCACAGTAATGTCACAGCAAATATCATGGGACATTTAAACAAAACTAAAAACTGTTTTATTAACTTGACAGGACAGGAAACTCTCCAGAGGAAACACAATTAAAGTTTTAGCTTCTGAAATAAATATTCTTAGACAGCTCTGTTGGGGCTCAGGATTTATCAAGGGAACAGTTGCTTTACTTAGCCTACTTAACAGTTTCACTGTATGAACCTGGACTGTGTGAGAGACCGTTTGGATGTGTAGAACACAAAGCATTAATTAACATCAGATCCTGTCCGATCCTGTTAGCGTGTTGGGAGATTTAAATTATAAAATGATTTGCTGCTGTGCCTCTTGTGTAAATGAGCACAGCATCTCTCTTAATGGGGAGACGCTTCACCCCATTTCACCCACCAGCAACCCATCCGCTGTTAATCATAATGTTAATTTGTATGACCCAGCCCGGCCAATCCGCAGATTTAACAGAGACCCGCTTGCATCCAGGCTTTCACACAAAATCTCCATGGCAAATGTGAGCCTCATTGATGGAAAGCTCTGGTTGCTATAGGATGGGCACAGCTTTGTGCATCTTTTTGTGATAGGCCACACCCCCTTTTATCCAATGGCATGAACACAAACAGTCACACACGCACACATACACAGCCAAATTTCAGCCTCCTAGGGCAAAGCTGTGGCATGTGCATCACAAAAAAAAGGAACCTTACCTAAGAGCAATTATATGGCTCATGTATGTATTTTGGGGGCATCAATTGAGGACTATGGCACAGAGGTCTAGAATAAATCCAGTTCTCATTGTTGGTTTAGGTTTTTTGTAAGATTTCTTGACAATAACTACAGAATATCAGCAATTCATCCTTTCAGTGGATTTGAACAAAATTGAGTGGATGGCTTACAGCTCTTCTGTGGCTCCTCTTTAACTTCTTTTTCGACGTCAACCTGGGAGAAAAACTTGACTTGTGGTTCAGTCTGTTAAACAGAACACAGGATGGGATTTCTAACAGAGCTCTTCCTTAAATTTACCCAGTAACAGGATCAACTGTGTTTACATACAGAATGTTAGATTAGACCTCACCTAGTGTTTTCCCCCCCTACTATACCTGGAAAATGACAACTTTGCCATCATCAGCCTGGAGGTAAAATGTCCATGTTGACGTGATGAAGCTGTGGGCCTGACTCATTACATCCTCCCAAAGTCCTCTGACCAGAGTCAGGGGGTACAGCAGGTGAATCCTAGGCATCATGGCCTCCAACTGAAAAAAAAATCAGTTACAGGCACTACAATTTAATTGTTTAGTTCATTTTACAATGAAGCACCAAAGTATTATTCAGATTCCCCAGCATGGTAAAGCCTGTCCTACATATATA